TGTCTCAGCCTCCCAAGTAGCTGGGATTACAGGCATCTGCCACCACGCCTGGCTAATTTTTGTGTTTTTAGTAGAGATGGGGTTTCACCATGCTGGCCAGGCTGGTCTCGAACTCCTGACCTCAGGTGATCTGCCCACCTTGGCCTCCGAGTGCTGGGATTAAAGGCATGTGCCACTGTGCCCAGTCAATGTTTCTACTCTTAAACGCACAATTAAGATATCTTGGGGCGGGGAGGAAGCCCAGCAAGTCAAATGAGTGGATCAAAACTTCCTGTGGTGGTGGAAGTCTTCCCAGGAGATGCTCTATCTAGGATGGGTTGGAACTGTGTTCATGACAAGTCCAGTCTTTCATAGGGTCAGGAAGTTGCTGTGCTGTGGTTTCTAAAAATCTCCTCCAGAGACTGTTTCAAGGATTAATTTAGGAAATAAAAGATAAGCTTTACTCTTAGTACTGGTGATTGGTTCTACGTACTATAGGAAAATTTATGGATGATGAGAATTTGACCAAAGACAAGGAGAAGGAAAGGGAGGGAGTGGAGGAGGAAGAACAGAAGGAGAGAAAACGCACAAAACGCACACACGCGCACATGCACACACACACACATGCACATACACATAAGGGCACATCCACTCTGCCTGCGGAAGTGGCATTCTATGCTGTCAGCAACACACACAGGGTGGAGATAATCAGTCAACAGATTCTGCCACAATGCAGTGATTTTTTTTTTTTTTAAGACAGTCTTGCTCTGTCGCCAGGCTGGAGTGCAGTGGTGTAATCTTTGTTTACTGTGACCTCCACCTCCTGGGTTCAAGCAATTCTCCTGCCTCAGCCTCCTGAGTAGCTGGGACTACACGTGTGTGCCACCATGCCTGGCTAACTTTTGGTATTTTTTTTTTTAGTAGAGATGGGGTTTCACCATGTTGGCCAGGATGGTCTGGATCTCCTGACCTCATGATCCTCCTGCCTCGGCCTCCCAAAGTGCTGGGATTACAGGTGTGAGCCACCGTACCCGGCCAGAAGTGAATTTTTAAAAGTCCACCAGCTTCTTTTGATCTGGTTCCACCCTTACCAAGCGAAGTCCATCATGTCTATGGTATCCGGGTTGCTGTAGAAGGAGGTGCCTTCTACATCACTAGCCTTGCCTGGGGAGCCAAATCCTCCCAGTTCCCATTTCAGCTCCTCGCACCCTCTGCGCCACCTGAGTCTCAGCATCGATCGGGTCAGGACTGTGGAGGCCGGGAAGAGAGCACACCTGTGGGAATATGAAATCCTTTCCCCTATTTTGATCCCTGGAAAAGTCTACCCCTAATCAAAATTAAATGCTTTGATCCTGCAATTTCTAGTACAGTACTTGTCATTTTGTTCTAGCCTCAAATCAGTTGCTTAGGATCAGATCATCCTTGGGTGAGCTGCAAAACCTGAGTTTCTGAAACTGAAGTTTCCAAGCAAGCCTCCAGTGACCCCAGCTACCCTGGACCCCTGCTGCTATTCTTTGATGTCTTTTTAGCTGCAACCTAAATCATCAGGAACATTTTTTCAGCAGAAAGAAGCGTAAGGCATTTCAAGAGCCTTGAAACAGACTCTGAAGCGCAGAGCCCTCCTCCCCACCTACTCCTCTCAGAAGTCTGAAGACAGGGGAAGCTGTTTAAATCCTTGGCAAATCTTCAATAAATTACTCAGATGGCTGATTCCAACAGGCCATTATGGGCTTCTATAAGTAAGAGATCTACAATGGATTATTAGAATGAATAACCCTAACAATAGAAAGTTTCCAAATCTATTTGTTCATTTTTCTTTCTTTAGTCAGATTACACAACATAAATGTGTTAAGATTTCATTGAAACAACCTTATTTTCCAAAGCCAAGTAGTATACGGGAGGACTCCTTATGAAGAATTAGATCAGTGATGGAAAAGACCCGAGGCTGCGGATGCCTGCGCCCTTTTCTCAGCCCGGAGGAGGTACAGCTAAGCTGGCAGGCAGCAGTCCCAAAGACATTGTAGCAGCGCTGCCATTTATTCCTGTCACGGTTCAGGAAGCTTTTTATGAGAACCTCCATTTGTAGAAGGTAGAGAGAAAACCGCGTGGGAAATGAGAAGAATTAAACAAAACAAACAAAGGCCCTGTACTACACATCCACAATGTGCCAGGCCCTTTTCCTGTAATCGCTGATTCCGACAAGAACCTCAAAAGGTCCATGCCATTACTCCTGTTTCACAGATAAGAACACAGAGAGATAGGGTGTAGATAACCGCACTGCTCGTCAAAGTCACACGATTAGAGAAACGGCGAACCAGGATTCAAACCCACGTCTGAGTGTGTCCAAAGCCCTCTCCTTCCTCTTCTCCTTCTGCTTCTTCTACCCCAACTTCTTCCTCTCTCCCTTCCCACTCTCCTCTTCCTTTTTCAAACATCTTTCTATAGATGTAATTTATATACCACAGCAGTCACCATGGAAAGTGTGCAATTCAGTGACTTGTAGTGAATTTATTGCATTGTGCAACCATCACCACGGCCTAATTTCACACCACGTTCATAATCCCAATTGCTCAGGTCACGTGCAGTCAACCTGCACCCTGACCTTCCCAGCCCCAGGAAATCACTAATCTCCTGTCTCTGAAGATTTGTCCTTTCTTGGACATTTTACACAAATGGAATCACACAGTACGTAGTCTTTTGTATCTGCCTTCCTTCCCTTAGCAAATGCCTCTAAGGTTCGTCCATGTTGTAGCCTGTATCAACATTTTTCTTCCTTCTTATTGCTTCATGGAATCCCACTGTGTGGATACCACATATTGATCATCAGTTCATCCTGTGATGGACATCTGGGTTTGTTAGGTATCATGCAGCTGTGAATATTCATATACGAGTCTTTGTGTGGACATATGTTCTTATCTCTTAAATATATGCCTAGGAGTGGAATTGCTGCGTCATATAGTAATTGTGTTTAGCTTTTGGAGAATTTTGAGAAACTGCTTTCCAAAGCGGATGTACCATTTTATATTCCCACCAGTTTCTCCACATCCTCACCAGCATTTGTCATTGTCAGTCTTTTTGATTAGTGCCATCCTATGGGTATGAAGTGGCATCTCACTGTGCCTTTTTTTTTTTTTTTTTTTTTGAGACAGAGTGTTGCTCTTTTGCCCGGGCTGGAGTGCAATGGCATGATCTTGGCTTACTGCAACCTCCTCCTCCTGGGTTCAAGTGATTCTCCTGCCTCAGCCTCCCGGGTAGCTGAGACGACAGGCTTGCACTACCACACCCAGCCGATTTTTGTATTTAGTAGAGACAGAGTTTTGCCATGTTGGCCAGGCTGGTCTCAAGCTTCTGACCTCAAGTGATCCTCCTGCCTCGGCCTCCCAAAGCGCTAGGATCACAGGCGTGAGCCACTGCGCCCCGCCTTACCCACTTTGCAAGAAAGGTAGAAAGCCTGTTCCTAATCGTGCTGATTTTGCAGATGCACCCGCACTAAGCTGGAAACGGGGATCACGGCAGGAAGCTGCACCAGCCCCACCTGGGAGCCGGGCCCTCGCACTGAGATTATCAAGTTACCTGCTCCGGTGACGTGGGCATAAGCCACATAGCTCCGAGGGACACTAGCTTGCCTTCCGTCTCTCTCCCCAGTGACATGAGAAGCTGGAAAGAAAATGTTCTGAAACCTGGGCGCCTGGGTTCGAGGCTCTGGCTCTGCCACCTTCACCCATTTAAGTCCCTCTTGGGGGCTTGGTTTCCTTATTTGTAAAATGGGTATAATAATAAAGTTTTCCTTACAAGGTGGCTTAGATGTGAAAAAACACAGCGATGGCCATGGATGGGCCTGACAAATGATGAAAGTGCTATAGAATGTGGGTCTCAAAATTATGCACTAGCATGTCTGTCTTGGAATCCCACAATGCAGGGGCTAAGAAAGAGACTGTCCGCCCACTGCTGCTTCCTCCTCTCCCTCCTTCCTACCTCAGGACACAAGACAGCTGCAGTCTAGCAGACGGCACCACACACTCCACACACTCCCAGTTCACTGTTCCCTTCCCAGGCAGCAGGGATGAAGGATGAAGGATGAAGGCAGATGCCGAGAGAAGGGCAAAGCTGTGCTTTAGCGCTTGGGGAATGGGAGGACCAGAATAGGCACTTTTTAGCAAGATCCACAGCTCTATCTCCTAACACTGTAGACAGGGAGCTCCCTCCAGCTTTAGTGGAGGCTGCAAAGGAAAGTCCATAGAATAGGAAGAATTCTGGGAGAGAAATATCTCTGCCAAGTGTAAACGTATGTTCACACCAAGTCATCACAGCCCCTCTGCCGTGCTTGTGAAATTTACCGAAGCAGCACAGCAAAGCTACACATTCACCATTACAAACTTTTAAGAGCAAAAAAAAAAAAAGCTCTCTTTTTAATTAAAAAAAAAGAACTTTAAAACTTTGTTGTGTAAGGGATTAGGATCTGTTTTAATATCTTCAAAATGGGTTGTAATAAACTTTTTAGTATGGGTTTTAATATCTAAGCAAAAATAAAGCTATTTATCTCAATACATATCACAGATACATGTTTATTATACCTAAATAAAGGAAATTTTCAATCCTAGGCTGGATAAACAAGAAAGCAGTCTAAGATGTAACTTTTCTAGATTCATATCATGGAAACTGGTCATGCTCCAATGACTGCAAAAGAGAAAAAGGGTAGCAACCTACAACTCTAGATCTTTCGGGATGAATGCTGCTTAGTAGAACAGAAGTGAACACTTGGGTTTCAAAGAAACATCAGAAGCACAGCTCACAGGCGATGCTTTGCTCTTGCGGGCCAGCAGTCCTGCCTCCAGGGCACCTGTCCCTCCAGTCTTTCGTCCCACCTCCTCTGCAGGTCATCCTGCCCCCCTAGTGAACTAAGGAATTCTGACTTCCAGCCTCCTTCCTTCCCAGCGTCAGCCCCTCCTGCATGGCCCTCGGCCTGCCTTCCCCACTGTGGCTGGGCCTCGGGAGGGAAGTGACCAGAGGCCAGGGCAGACCTTCAGTGTTACCTATTTGCCTTTCCAGGTCAGCGGCTTCATCAGGCGTGGCCCGTGGCAGGACTCCAGGGTCGCTGAAGCTGGTGCGGAGCAGGGTCCCCATCACAAAGAAGAACAGGATGCCAGCGACTGCAGGGATGGCAGGGGTGATTTTCACCGCCAGGTACGGACAGCTACCAACAGGATGGACAGGCCGGGGAGAAGGGGAAGAGAGGAAATACAATGTCAGGAATCAGCAGTAAGCAGTCTTCATTTTCTAAGAAGCCAAAAGCTTATTTGGAGGAGAGAAATTGATTTCCACTAAAAAATTCATCCCTTTTTATCGCTGTGGAAGATTTATGTTTGGGGAGTCCTGCCGTTCTCTCTTACAGACAGCTGAACCCCCACTCCCTAGCACAACAGCCCAAGCCCTCTGCTCTCACAGGAAGATGCTGGCAGAAGAATGAAAATTAGTCTGGCTTGTATAATCAGCCTAAGACACACAGAGCTTGTATGAATATACACGTGTCCTCTGAGCTATAAACACAGTTCATGAGTCTATGAGATACCCCCACCCTCCCCTGGAATTACATAATAGAAGAAGACACCAATTTAGAATGATCTTCATGAGAGCCGGCCTCTCCCACTTGGGTCAGACGACTCAAGGACTTTCAGCCAGACCAAATGCTGAGGACTGTACACCCACTTTCAAAGGGCAAGAAACCAATTTTCTGTGTTTTGGAGGTAATCTATTCCCAAGTGAATGAGCTATGGAAATGGACTTGCAGGCAAGTTTCTGAAGACGATTTAAGGGATTTCAGCAGCTAAAATAGAATCATCTTGGGCTTTTCCAGAGGGCATCTGAACTACCAACGGACCAACAGGGCCCAACTCTTAATTCGATCTCTTCACTGGTGTCAGTCTGACAAGCTGACGTGAAGCAGGAGTTGTTGTGAGTCAGGGAGAGGTGCCACTGGGACAGACTAAACTCTACACGAGGCCAGCCTCGGAAGCAGCGTCTGACATTTGGCCTCTGATCTGGGTATTCTGGAGCCTGGGTGGTTCCTGCCATGGCTCCTTGATGCAGTCAGATGCCTGGGCCTAAGTGAAGGATGGGATCTGCAGGGACCACAGTCAGTCCACTGTCACCACATTAAATAACATCATGCGCATTGGGGAATATGACGCCAAATCGTGGAATGAGAGCATCTAGCATGGAAAGCAATGCTAGATGGCCCACCTCATCAGAAGATGCTGTTCCAGGCCCTCAAGACGAAACAGAGATGGGGCAGCTGGAGAAGAAAGCATTGCAAAGCTCAGCTCTGCTCAAGACTCGGAAGCAGACAGGGATTTTGGTCATGAGGCCCTGGGAACCAGCACCCCACTGCTGTGCAGGTCTCGATGGGTGGCAAAGGGATGCTGGCACGAGTCTGAGGCTTGAGAGCCACAAGCCGTGATCCCCTTTGCTGAGACAAGGGATACAGCATTAACATGCCGGCCTTCAAGAGGCCTGCAGATGTAGACACAGCTTCCTGGGACCACTGCTGACGTTGACAACGTGTACCGTGGTTGTGCAGGAGTTTCCTAGCAGGAGGAGATGTACAGCGAAGTATTTAGAAATCAAGTGTCATGATGTGTGCAGCTTACTCCCAAACAGTTCAGAAAAAACACTGTCTAGACAGAGCAAATGGGGTAAAGTGTGAGCAGTACATGAATCTGGGTGAAGGGTAAACGGACGCTCTTTGTACTACTCTTATTCTTGCTACTTTGCTGTAAGTTTGAAATTATTTAAACATAAAAAGTTAAAAAAAGAAACACAGTCTATATTGAAGGCATGAAATTACCCTGGTATGAAATAATAGATGTGTGTGTGTGTGTGTGTGTGTGTGTGTGTGTGTGTGTGTGTATAGCGCACATATATATATATATGCTATATATATATAAACCCTGAATACATACAATTTTAGTCAAAAATAATCTACTTTAGTGGGATTTTTTTTTGTTACAAAATGGTTAGGGAAAAGAGCAACTGTGTAGAAGAGAATTTTCCAGAAAAACTTCAATTCACAATTCAACAGTTTGAACAATGGCAGTGAATAAAAGAAGCCCATGTTTTCCCCACTTTTTCAAGATTAACAAATTTGAATAAGATGCCTAGAAATAGAAATTCCATGGAATACTATGCAGCCATCAAAAAAGATGAGTTTGTGTCCTTTGTAGGGACATGGATGAACCTGGAAACCATCATTCTCAGCAAACTGACACAAGAGCAGAAAATCAAACACCGCAGTTCTCACTCATAGGCGGGTGTTGAACAATGAGAACACATGGACACAGGGAGGGGAGCACTACACACTGGGGTCTGTTGGGGGGAAATAGGGGAGGGACAGCGGGGGGAGGGGAGTTGGGAGAGATAGCATGGGGAGAAGTGCTAGATGTGGGTGATGGGGAGACAGGCAGCAGATCACAGTGCCACACGTGTGCCTATGCAACAATCTTGCATGTTCTTCACATGTACCCCAAAACCTAAAATGCAATAAAATTAAAAAAAAAAAAAAAAGATGTCGGCAGAGCAAAGCCAGCTTCAGCAAGGGCCCAGCTGGACGGTGTGCACCAGACAGGCCTGGTTAGGAGACAGTGCTGCACCTCAAGTGCTGACAGCTGTGATTTGACTCTACGGAGCTTCTCCAAGGACGGCTACTTCTGAATGGCCAGAACTCTCCCGTGAAGGTGACTTAGTGGAGCTTAGGCTTTGGTGTGCTTCTCTCTTTTGTGATTTGCACTTGAACACACACTGATTTATTCGGAGCCATCCGAGGGAAGGAGGAAAAGGCAAAGTCCAGTTGACACAGGGAGGACCACTGCCTGCCAGGGTTCTCCCACTGCACAGTGGGCTGGCGCACGCGGAGGAATCAGGGCATGGATCCGAAACGCAGCTGTTTGTGTCTCCCTGGGAACCCTGCTCCTGCTCCTGTCCCCGCAGGAAATCTCAGGCGGGTCTAATCACTTCCCTGATCATACTATGAAGGTAATAGGAAATCCTCGTCACTTTAAGTAGAAAACAGTGTCATTTAAGTAAATAAAAGAGTAATAATCCCTGTGCATAATGGTAACATCTACCTTGATATGAAGTTAAGTCCTCTCCACTTCCCCAGCCCTCCAGCTGCAGTTTCTGGCCCTTCCATGGTGGAGAAGAAAGCAGGTGGAGTGGAGAGGGAGGCAGGAAAGAGCCTACAGGAAGAGTTCTGCTACAACGCAACTGTGTGCCCTGGCTCCATCAGATGGTTAAAACTGACTCTGCCTAGACTCGCATTGGCGAGTGCTTTGGAAGCCCTGGGGGAACCTAGGTGCACGGCCCACCTGCATTTTTCTTCCTCCTTCCCTCTTCTTAATAAGCAACAGCCAGCCCTCCTCCCACTCAGGGCCTTCCTTCCACCCTGTTTTGCGTTCCAGTTCCTCCTCTCAGAAACCCTCTCTGTCTTCTCTCCCCTGGGGACAGCTGGAACAGTGATCTCTATTTATTTATTTATTATGATTTTTTGAGACAGGGTCTCACTCTGTTGCCCAGGCTGGAGTGCAGTGGTTGATCACGGCTCACTGCAGCTTTGAACTCCTGGGGCTCAAGAGATTCTCCCAGCCCAGCCTCCTGAATAGCTAGGACTACAGTCCTTCACTACCACGCCTGGCTAACTTTTTGTGTTTTGTAGAGACAGTGTCTCACTTTGTTGCCTAGGCTGGTCTCAAACTCCTGGACTCAAGTGATCCTCCTGCCTCAGCCTCGCAAAGTGCTGGGATTACAGGCATGAGCCACCATGCCCGGCCTAGAACCGTGATCTCATCCCTACCTACCACGATCCTCCTCCTTCAGTCTGTCCCAACCACCACTGCCAGCTCCAATCACACGTGTCTCTGCTCAAAAGCCCTCCATGACCCCACTGTTGCTGCCAAATGAAGCTCAAGCTCCTTATCTGGTGTCCAAGTCCCCCCAGTCACCTTCTCTCCCTCCCTCTCACTGCCCCTTCCCGAATCCCAGCAATGGCCACACCTGGCATCTGAGCATCTCAGGCAGACATGGGCTTTCACCAACTGCCGTGCTGCCTGTCCAGCCCAAGTGTCTGGAACACCCACCCCTCCCATTCAGCATGTTGATGCCCCCCAGCTTTCCAGTTCCAGCTCAACACCACTTCCTGAAAAGCCTTGCTAGAGTTTCTGTGCTCACCCCTAAGCAGAGTGATCGCTTCTTTCTCTGAACCCCCATGATGTTTTCCTTTGCTCCTCTCCTCGGGACATGTGGCTATTCGTGGACATGCTGCATGCACCTCACAAGATTAAAAGTCCTGGAGGGTGAGACTGGACCCTGCTCCTCTTTGTGTCCTTTGTAGCACCTTGTAGGACGCCTCGCATGGTGGAAAATTCTACCAGGTTTGATAAATATTTGTTGAGTAGCTGAATGAACAGAACCCATTTAGTGAATCCTGTAACGTCTGAAAGGGGAGGAAAGTCAAGTCACCCATACCCTCAGCAACCATGGTCCTGCTCTAGAACTTCTCAACTCTTGTCAGCTTGCTAGGTCCAGTAACTTCCTTCAGACAGGTGCTAAGGTCCAGTCTCTTCCACGAGCCTCCCTCGGCTGAGAGGAGAGGGTATTCCTGAGCTTGCTGAGCTGAGTGGGCCTCATGTTCACCTTCTGTGGGCATTTGCTGGAACCTTTAAGACTCTCCATGTGCTAAATTTCTAGCAGATGAAGCCCCATATGTTGGTATAACTCTATACAATGAATGCTAGGTGCTCTGTGACCATCCCATTCCACCAGTCTCTGTGTGTGACAGAGGACAGTGCTGAGTTTGTCCTAGAAATCCTCAGCAACTCCCTTTTTATAAAAGCAGCAGAATTCCCAACCCTAAACAAGCAATGAGGTCAGGGCTACTGAGACACCTTCAAACTGCTGCTCAGAAAAAGCAGAGAGAATCTGTAGTCCTTGTGGTAAAGACAAAGCAATAAGCAGACCCTGCCCACGACTGTGAATGTTGATCTCCTGAAGGCGGTGAGACCAATGGGACATCTCAGTCGACCCACAGACTGGCACGGCTTCACAGCTGAAGGAAGCGCTGTGCACAGTACGGCAAATTCTTAGCCTGAGCTCAGAGGACTTGAAAATGACTCCTTCATATTTCTGAGCAACTGTGGATGGGAT